GTTCTGCCTGCATACTTGGCATCAGATCAAGGTGAATCTGGTATGAGTGAAGGAATGAGCTAAGGAAAGTGTGAGTGTGTGTATGTGTGTGTGTGTGTGTGTGTGCGCATTTGCAGCCCTCATTAGTAAACTCCAGCCCTGCGTTCACAGTATGAACACGCCACTCCTCCCCTTCCTTTCGCTCTCAGCCTCTCAACTAAATGAGGTTAATAAACTCAAGCGTTTACTACCATCACCAACACTATCCCTCCTCCCCTGCTTTCTCCTTCATCTCTCCCTCTCTACCTCCACCTCTCTCTGCACTCCTGAGCCAGCACTCCTCCACCTCCCTTCCACTCCTAAGCCTCCCTCCCTCTTTCATCTCAGCTGAAACGCTTTCTTCCTCTTTTCTTCACCTTTTTTTTATTGTCATTGTTGCAGGGCGAAAGCTCTGGGATTTCCTCCCTCTATTTCCCAGGACAGAGCTGCAATTACAGCTCAAGAGAGAAGAAGACCAGCTGTGCGGGGGAATTGGGACCGGTGTACTACTAGTAGGTGGACAAAAGATGAGGGCGCCGCTCAGAGGCACGGGAGTGAAACTGCTCATATTTCTACCACAATATTTCTTCCTCACATCAAAGCAGAAGCGTACTTTTGTAGTACCAGGCAGGGTCATCATGACCAAACAGCAATAACAACCCGTCATAGCGAATAATGTGCAATGTTATGACCTGGCTTGCATGTTCTGAGTATTAAATCACACACACACACACACACACACACACACTGGCTGTGGCACGAACAAGCAGTGATACCAAGGAAATGTGAAGAATGCATCAAATAGCCTTGGATGCGCTTATCTTGGACAGCATGTGGACAGGGACATCCTGAAAGAAGTAAATACTTAAAATATGATTGAAGAGAATGCATATGTGTAAAGGACAGATTCAGACAGCTGTGACATGTATACGTGCAGGAACGTTGTTTGGGCTTTGTAGAAACATTATGCAGCACTGTGTCGATACATAATGAGTTTGTGAGAGATTGTCTTTGAAACACGCTGTTGCTGTTGCTGTTGCTGTTGCTGTTGCTGTTGCTGTTTGATTTGGTTTTCCTTTCATCTTTGAGCATACAGAATGAATGATGTACAATCAGTTCTGGCAGTGTTATATAACTTACTTATTTTACTTTTTAATATTCCATCTTACCTGCTGTACAGTGCAGTTCATGTGGACAAATTTAAAATTGAAATAGTCCCTGTGATTATGTGACAGCTGACTGGATTACCTTCAAACAAAAGGTTTAAGAATTATTCTCACTTCAGGTCTGGTCACAGTGTTCCTCTGATCATATGACTAAGGGGCCACTCTGGCTTGCTATTTATCAAGGCCCGAGCTGTTGAACCCTTCTCTGTTTTTACTTCTCCAGCCCACACAGCAGTAATGGTGCAAGTGATCGTGTCCTGAAACAGATTACCATCCATCCAGTCCATCCTGTAAAGACACCACCAGTGATAAAGGTTAAGGGTGATATTACATATCTTTGTTTCTGTCAACAAACCCAGTGAAAAGACCCAAAACACTCATCTCATTCCTACAACAGCTGGTCACTGTAGCTTTCAGTACAAACAGGAGTAAATAGTGCATTTGTTGCGGACTATTTTCAGATGTGGATTAATACACATTTGGTGCGCTAGTGAGTATTTCTGGCAGTGGGAGGCTGTATATGGGATTAATTCAAAATAAAACTACAGCGCCCATGTTCATGGTTATAAAGGACCATGTCATCCCGTGCAACAGAGTGGCCCACTATTGTTCTTTTAATAGTTTCTGAATTGAGGTCAATGCCAGAGGAATAACCTATATCACCTTTTGGCAACACAATAATACTTTGTCTTTTCGTGGGAGTTGTTTACAAAAAAGAAAAAACATGAAATATCACCAGTCTTCACAAGTATAGTCAAATTTCTTTAAGTTTATCTTAAAGAAGTGAAACTAATTTTATAAAAGGCATCAATACTTTTTTTTTTTTCCAATCTTTCTCTCAAAAGTCCCCCATCTTTGTGGAAGTGCAATACTAAGGGTCAAGTTATGCTCAAAAAGAACTAGTTTATGCAACCTGTTGACCGATACAGCTTAAATATGGGGATAACAGTGCGCAGTCATAGTGTTGCACTCAATGGGTGAGCTTGAGAGAGAAGTTCCTGGTTCTGTTCTCTACTCTGCACAGCTGGCCAATCACCACACGAAATTGGCGTGAATGCCGGATTTGTCGTTTTCAGAACCCCCATCTCCTGGCTTCAGAAAGGGTTTGTGGGGGCTGTTCAACCACCTGACAATCATTTCTGATGAAGCATCTTAAATTTCGGAAATAGTCTTCTAAGTGATGCCAGGCCTGCCCTGTACAGTCATCCTCGCTCAGTTGACATTAATGGAAATGTACTGAAATCATTGTCAGACATGTGCCATTTGATGGACACTTTTATCTGTACATTTTTAAGATGCCTGGCCCCAACTGGAAATGAACCCTTGACCCTGGCAGCGCTGCCAGGCCCACTCCACACAGGATCCCATTATTAAAATGACTGTGATATCTGCCTTTTCAACTACAGGCATCAGCTGCTTGCGATGTAATGTTTCCTAACAGCTGTCGCACTGTCAGGTTGTCTGTGTGAGTGTGTAACAAAGAGAGAGTGATGGCAGCAGGAGTCCCTGTCGGGCCCATGGGACAGTCGGAGAGGAGCAGACGGTCGTGTCTTTTCACTGGAAACATATGGTGAAACTCAAGTGTGTAATTTACCAAGGACTACGGGTGGCCCCCGAGTAGCGCGTTCACACATGCGCAAGCGCACATGTACACACACACACACACACACACACACACACACACACACAGTGACAGGGTGTAATTTACCTGGGGCCTATGGGTGGCCCGGTATCCCGTTGCACTTGTCATACACACACTGACAGCTCAAACACAGTTCACACTCCCTGGCAGAGACAGAGAGAGTGAAACTAATTTCCCCAGGCCTGCAGACAGGAGAGTAAGAAATCACACAATGACAGAGATGTTAGAGATCCACACTCCACACAGAGAGTGAAGCAGCGTTTAGTGTATTGGCCCAGTGGAAGACCTCACCCCCAAAATCTCAACCTGTGGGAGTTGCTGTACACCCTGTATCACTTCCTCTCCAATATATCAGCCTGGCTCCTTTTCAAAGCCGGTGATACCCCCCTCCTCTTAGAGAGAGAGATGAAGGTCATGGGAGCACCAGCGAAGGGGAGGAAGACAGATGAGGAGTGTGTCCCTCCCTACATTCCTGCGCTGACCTTCATAGTAGTGTGGCACTGTAGCCATCATCGGCCCACCATGCTTTACAGTTGGTTGTTATTGAGGGGTGGGATTATGGGCTCCTAGAACCTGCATGCCCCTCCCTGATTCCCCGGCAACCGTGAATGGAGCGTATCTAGTTTCACATGAGGATTGACAGACAGGCTGTCCCAGACGTTTACAGTTGGCACTGTTTGAGGTGTCTGTCTGTGAAATGCTGATATGATAGCCTGTCTGTGAGTTTGTGTGTGTGTGCGCGCATGTGTGTGCGCGCATGTGTGTGTGTGTGTGTCTGGAAGCAAGAGAGAGACCTGGTGTTTGATCTTCTTTCCCAGCCAAGGGGCTTTAACTTCACTCCAGGTGCAGCGAAGTCAACCTGAGGGCATGGGAGGTACATACAGTGGAGATCACAACCATGAAGTACTTAACAAACACACACACACACAGAGACACACAGACACACAGACAGAGGCAGGAAGTTTCCGTAAAGCAATAACCCTGACTAACTTTGTGGTTTAAACGGGTTTACCAGTTCAGTGGTGTCACCGTGGAATGCTTCTAAAGACTCGGCAACGTGCTGTAGGATAAACATTTCTATTGCCGCCTCCGCATGCGAACATCAATCAGTCCCGAACAGAAATACTAGCGAGTGAAAAATGAAAAGGTGAAAGGGCCAGCTGGTTCAGTGGGCAGTGTAATGACAATGTGCAGGACAGGCTCTCAGTCTACTGTACACAGAAGCAGCTGGAGTTGGTTTTTCGTTGCTGCAGGTCAGGTCTGATTGGGCAGAGAGTAAATTAGGTGGAAAGTCAACAATGGGACTAAAAGTACTGTATGTAACACCAGACTGATGGAGTGGGTCAACAGGTGCAGAAGATTTGGCAAAAAATAATCAGACAGCCATTAGCTCCACCCAATAAACCTGACAATTGCTGTGTACTGGCATTAAAAGCTTTCCTCCACTCCATGGCCTTAAATGTAACTGGAATAATCACTCTCTTTACTCCACCGTATCTCCACACAGGGAATCTGTGTGGTCCGTAATGAGCTCAGTAAACATCTGCTACTCCTGTATTAGAGACCATTTTCTCCACATCTCATCCTGTAATATGGAGAAATTAGAGTGCAGGGGCTCATTCAGCGTGTTTATACACACACACACACATTCACAGAGAGCAGACATAACATAAGGAGTCCAAGTGTTTTTATACTACCCAACTGACGCTCTAACATACCATCTTAACACCACAATTTTCCATCCACAACAGTAAAACACTACCGGGTGTCCTTGGTCCTTTTTTTTTTTCTTTTTTTTTCTTAAAGTGCAGGGTACTAGGGCCTGTTCCAAAAAGCAGATTTATTGATTTATTTAGAAATTTTTACTTGGTTAAACCTAGAAGCCCCTTAAATCTAGAACATGAACTGATAGAAAAAGACAAGTTTTAAACATTAAAACTCAGTTAACCTGCTTTTGGATAACAGGCCTCTCATCACTTGTTTTGCTGAAATAATACGTCTCTGTTTATTCAGCGTGGCAGGAATTTCCCTCAAAACACTGTAACAGACAACACAACAAAGGATGTTATGCAACTGCTGATGGCTGCAATATATATAGAGAAATAGCGCCATCTAGTGTCAGGACGCCAGCCAAAAAAGCAAGTCAAGAGAACATAATGCAATTCCATAGTTGGGAGGTTTAACATCGTTTATTATAGAAACCACTTAATATCTGCAAAATGTCGTATGTCACACCTAAGGCTGGGAACTAATGAAAGAACTCATACTGTACAGCAGACTGATGGATAAGACAAAACGAAGAAGGCATGACTCCTTAGAATACAATACCCATTTCAATATTGGCCCCTCCTTATATACACTTGTATGGCTGTGGTTAACATCTGGATGAACTTCCTGCAGAGTGAACTTCCACATCCATGCAAATCTCCAGACTCCAGTCTTTTCCCATTCTTGTGTTGACGGTTAAACTGAAGAATCTTTGCGCATCACTTTAGGAGGCTCTTCCTCACTTTCTCATCTCCTGCTTGACCTCACTGAGGATCTCCTCCTCCAGTTTGGATGTGTCGTACTCCTTCAGCATGTCGTACTCCTGCCAAGGCTGTGCCCACTTCTGGGCGTGCTCCATCTGCTCAGGGCTCAGGTCGAAGCGGATGCCCTGGATGTTGAACCTGGGTCGTTCCCAGCGTTTTGACCATGGCTTTGGGCGCATCCTTACTTTGATCTGGTAAATGGACAGAGATGCTCGATCATTTTACATTGCAACATTCTTTATTTTCTTCACATTAAATCTACTTTTATTCCTTAAAAAAAAAAATCTGTTAGGCATTGTTTTCTAAAGTAACTGGAGCAAGGCACTAACACTGTAATGGTTAGGGTTTAAGCACAAGTGATACTGCATGGCTTTTTAGATTAAAGAATAAAAATACATTTACATAAAAGCCTATATTTTACATCACTAATATTAGTAATTAAAATAATCAAAATAGAATTTACAGTAATTTAGGAAGCCTAATTTAAACCAGCTCTTTTCTTTGTAAATATATTATCAGGGTTGATCTTGAAGCTGTCGCACCTTGTTGACAGGAACCTCTCCAGTAGAGGAGTAGGGCACAGGATTCATGTCCGGGTCCACAGTGCTGTACTCGGGCAGAGCATCTCTCAGATACATCAGGTTATCATCCAGCCTTTTTTCCAGCTTCAGCACCTCAATATTCTGGATACGAGGACTATACATCTCATAGCAAATCTCCACACCTGCGCCACACAGATAGTTACATCTTTAAAACAGGTATTTTACCTGAAGGACACCTCATTCACTTCTTACATGTAAAGAAACTCTAGATGGGGAAAGTGAATGAACAAGCCTTTCCTCTTCCGTAATCAAGCTACCACTGAAAACTAAAGTAGAGATATTCTTAGTTTCCATTCTCAGTTAAATAATTGTATTTGTATTAATACTTCTGCCAATAGTATGTTCCTTAGTTTTTCAGTAATGATGTTATCTACCAGCCCTTCCTGCATCTAAACCTCACCTTGATTTTCGATGATGTTCCTTAGGACAAATGTGGCGCCCAGCCCCTTTCCACCCCTCTGGATACAAATTCCAACAAAGCGGTTGGTTTTACCACTGGCATTAGGATCAGCCATGGTCACTGACAGGATACTCCCTGGAAATTATCAACAATAGCACAATTTAAATTATGATATAAAGTTTAATCTTTATACATACAGTATTTGTAAGAGCACTATTTCTATTTTTTTTAGTAAATATTAACTCAAACGGAGGTTAGACTATACCAATATGGGCAGGCAACAACTATGATAATGTGGCCTCTTCTTTAACACCATGTTAGTAGCAGTACTTACAATTATAGTCTCAGATATTCTACCTAAGGCTACAGAGTGGGGTGCAGTATTTAAACTTGGAGGAGGTGGAAGCATGAATTATGTTCCCTGGGTGAAAGAATTCAAACTGTTTGGGTTATCTTCTTTCCCTCACCTTGCTGTGGGAAGATACCTGACCATTTTGTTTCTTACCTACGTAGAATTCAGGGATATTGAGCACTTTCCTCCTGCGGATCATGTCTTTCCTTTCAATGGAAAACTTTAAAGGGTCTGTTCTTTGTCGCGGAGGGATGAACTCTGGGCTCAGAAACCTGGGAGGCAGAGACGACCGGGACAACACATTACAAACCTTACTTCACCCAGCCTGTAACGGCGGTACTTTTCTGTTTTTACAAAGAAACATCATACTTTCGCTGAGACGCCGGGGTTTGTGTTTTATCTACGATGACAGGTTTAGATGGAGGAGTGAATTTGGATGGCTCGTTGTTATTCCCCGATGCAGGACGGCACAGGGACGTGCACAAAAACCCTGAAAACAACAAGATACCATTTTATAGACATACATCGCACACATTTGTACAGATAAGGTAAGCCTGTGTTGATCACTATAAGGTTGAGAAACGATAGCTTGCAGTCTATCGTTAGCTTCTTAGCACACATAGCGGATGTACATTAGAAGTTCTACACCTTTTTGCAGCATGCCATCAAACTGTAAAGTATAATGGGGATAAGGGGAGTTTGTTCAGTTTACTTACGTTCATTTTGGAGCTGGAGGTTTCGTAAAAACCTCAGGGAAAAGATACACTTGTCGAGCCCTTTGACGCAGGCTGCCATGTCTGACCTTCTGTTGTCGCGTGTGAGCTTGTACGGAAGCCGAGCAGAGCAAACGTATTTCAAACGCGATTTGTCCGAATCTGTAGTTTAACGAGTTGTCCACAAGATGGCGCAACTGTTCCATCGGTGGTTCTAGGCATAGACTAAAAGGTTCTAGGTAATCTTATTTGGTCCTATGTCAAGTTCACAACTGTGAGAATACAACATGCTTACACACAAATTAAATTAGATTTAGAAAAAAATCAATCAAATTGTATATTCGACTTATTAAGAAACCAATATAACAGCCATTGCCAACCTACCTGATTTACACTTGATTATGGACTGTAATTGCCTTCACCATGATGCATGCTTTTAATTAATAAGCAAAGGGCAGAGCAGAGCCACTGCTTTTATGAGTTAATGATGATGATGATGATGATGATTATGATGATGGATGATAAAAAAATGTTTATGTTGTTAAAACAATTAATTTAATTTAATTTATTTTTTATATGTGTAATATTGATCCTCAAAGGAATACATGTGAGATGAGATAAATGAAGTGAAAAAAAGTAGCCTCTGAAAATAGTGTTATAGAAGTATAATGTAGAATAACAGGAAGATACTCAAGTACACATACATCAAATGTGTAGCCTACTTAAATAGCTACATCGCTTGATTACATTGATTCCAGCACTGAGATTCATTGGGTTAAACCAAAACGGTCTGTGTTACACTAAAGCATATCATTTCCTAGAGGTCAGAGACGGCACACAAAGGCCTCCTGGTATGTTATAAATTCATTTCAGTGAGATATTTTGCCCCTGCGCGCGCGCGCGTGTGTGTGTGACAGGGAACTGAACTTTTGAGACCATGCAGGGGAGCGTCGGTCCTACAGGTGGGCTGCCTCCACAGCACAACATAACACGCAGTTACAAATGCACTGAGCGAGAGAGAGAGAGAGAGAGAGCGAGAGAGAGAGAGAGAGAGAGAGAGCGAGAGAGAGAGAGAGCGCGGTTCACGGCTGCAGCCCAGAGGAACCTCGATCCCAGTGTCACAGCAGTGTGGTGGGAGGATGAGGGGGAAGACCAGAGACAAGATGGGACCGCACATCTCCTGCATGCGACGCAGAAGCTGAAACTCAACTCAACTCAACTCAACTCAATGCTGCAGCAGCTGTTGTTTCTGTTGGACTTTCTAAATGCTACGGAGAGACTCAAAAACTCTGAGGCTTCAAGGATGTTCTTCTCAGATGGGACTCTCTCAGCCGTCAGTAATGCGCTCCTGTTGGGAATAACGTGTCTGACCGTCCTCTGCGACTTCACCAAGGGCTCCTCAGACTTTTCAGGTTGGGAATAATGATGATGTGTTCACGTTTTTGTTGACAGAAAGCAACGTAAACATGTTTTCCTGGCAGTCAACAGCATGCTCAGCACTTGTTTAATTCTGACGTAAGTTATCTGCGCTTATGCTTCTTTCCATTGAACGCTTGAGGAATATAGGCTTCTATTCGCGCCCTATAGGAGGTGAAATACAAGCAGGATAAGTCATTACGCATGCTTTAAAACTGTTGAGCACGAATCCCCCCACCCCACCCCCCTAAACAACTATAAGCAGTGATTTCAAACTTGTCCTCTCAGGACGACCCGTGCCTCTGGCGTGCTGCAGCATGCACACTCAAATGTTTGCTTCATAAACCGACCCAACGCAACTTAAACATGCGGAAAAGACCCGCATTGCGCTTATCTTTGGGCCAATTCTGACACAGTTTGCCGAGAGTGACCCACATAGGCCACTTCAAACGACAGGTCCCCCCCCCCCCCCCTTTACTAAAGCCATCTTGCTATAGGGATTCAGGGCATGGTTTATCACTTCAGCATAGCTCTGCAACACATATCCCCATTGATGCAACTGAGATAAATGGGATAGTGTGGTTAATGTGTTACTCGATGGGAACTATTGTCTGGACCAAGCGCTGTCCTTTGCTACAGATTTACAGCACGGAGAAGAAAGCCAATGCCGCCTTTTATGATTTTTATGCGCTTCATATTCAATCAGTTGGAAACGTAAAGTCAATACAAGGCTGGGACCTGCCAATTACTTGAGGTTTATGTGCACTCCGGTGTGACGGAATCTGCAGGCTTTTATGTCTTCCAAGAAAGGCCGTGCATATTACTAAACTAATGAGTTATTCTGTGTTGCATTATAGACTATTGCGCTGTGCTGAGCCCAAGGCAAGCCTGCAGGTTTTGTTTACAGTGCCATAAAACAGGAAGGGAGCTTTGTGTCGGTGTTAATTGGCCTCTAATGGGTCTAATGGTTGGAAACGAGCAGACTAAAACACTGTGGGGGAAAAAGGTGCTAAAGAGCAGATGTATGTAACATGCCCTCTGTGTATGTGACTGTGTGTGCATGTGTCCATGTTGCTGCCTAATGAGCTGCTTAAGATTATGGTGTAGTGAAGGCTGTTAACAAGGTTTCATTTCTGTAATTGCCATGCTCTGGTGAGTGGTTGTTGGTTATGCCATAAATAATACAACCAAGTAGCTCAAATGGTGGTTAATTAAGCAAGAAAGGAAAAACCATAAGACCATCTGATTCCAGATTTCCGCTGCCTGGAGCAGGTTTGCCAATACCCCCGGCTTAGGCATGATTCTGCAAATATTGTGCCATAGGGAGAAGTTAATTTGTTGAAATTTCCACTTTGGTTCGGCATTTCTTTGCCCTGAAACTTTCTCTCTGGACTTCCCAGTGGTCCCTTCACTCCCTAAGGTGAAGCGGAGGAAACACTGCTGTCATGTTGGGTTCTTCCTTTGGACCTAATATCAGTTTTATCTATAAGCCCTGCAGGGACACCGATGTCAAGCCCCCAGATGCAATTTTGTTTGCTCATCAGAGACACTGCTCTGTGCAATGCTGACCAAGCATCCCTGTGAATGAAATGAGAATGGGGACTTCCTCAGAATACCTGCAGGACAAAGAAATCCTTCAGTCTTCACATTCTTGACCAGCTGGAGTCTCCCTGGAGACTGAGAGGAGCTCTTTGATTGACAGGTGCTGCCAGGTTTGCAGGGTGACAGAAGTGGTAGGTTCAGATCTAACATCTGTCACTCAGACCTCTATCAGTTGAATTAGTGATGGCGGACAAGCTGGTCACATCAATGGACCTCAGTCACTATGGCGAATTAACCCAGTGGAGCCAACTGTTTGACCTCCAAAGGAATATCTATGGCAGCAAAAGTTGATTTGACTTGATCACGGCCCATTTTTGGTTCATCTGTGTCAATCTATGTGTTTTGCATTTGGATCATTTGTCAACAACTGGGAGTAATGGCAGTTTCGTGTTTCGTCAGCGGCTTTCAGCTCGCTGCTGAAATGGAAACAAACTATGTTGGAGGGTAATTTAATTCTGTCTCTCTCCCTGTTATCATCCTCTATTATACAGCTGCCTGAACGGCTAATTAGAGGTGAGGAGTGAGCCAAGCAACACTTAAGAGCCCCTAGGCTAACAGAGGTAGCAAGGAAGCTAATTAATGCTCTTTATCTTACAAGTTTTTAGCACTTTTCTAAACTGAAAATTGAAAAGAACTGAATATACAACCTTATTGTTTGCTCTCCTTACTGCTTGTGCTTAGATTTACTCATGCGAGGAGCTCTCGGTTTGTAACATAACTGTTCTTAATTGGTCATCTAGCCATCCAAAGCAAACCATTCATTATACCAGAATGTCATGCTTCTTCACCTCTTTGTTCAAATATGGATCCTCCTGCGGCACATATACATACACTGCACAGCATCACATTTTTTTTTAAACATGGAAAAACGGAGGTGAAACGATTAGTTGATTAATTTAAATGTATTGGCAGGAAAATAAATTTGCAACAATCAATGTCATTTTATATGCAGCAGTACTGAGCTCCTCAGTTGTGGGGATGTGCTGCTTTTCTTTGTCTTCAGTGATAGGAAACTGAGGGTCTGTGGGTTGTTGACTGTAGGTTGAACAACAAAAGCAATTTGAAAGAATCACCCTGTTTTCTGAAATTTTACCCACCAAAGGATGAATCAAGAAAATAATCTTCAGATTAATCAATAATGAAAAAAATTGGTAGTTGTAACCTAACACTGAACTCATATCCAAGACTATAAATCTGATTTGTTTTAATGTCTCTCTGCTCGTCCGTCCTGTTGCATGCTGTCACCAGCTGACATATAGAACAGATTATCATTTTCGTTAACACATGTGGTAGCTGTGCAGGGACAGGGGAGTGATGCATGCTGGTCTGTTTAGAGAAAGGTCGAAACAATAAGAGAAAATCAAGCATTTTCTGCAGCTGACTGAGAGTTACTTCATACAGAAGCATCTCAAACAAAACACTGACGCCTGGTGTGTTTCTTTTCTTTTCAACCGTAGAACATTTTAGAACCACTGCACTGATATCCCGCACATGTTCAGTTGTTGTTGTGTATGAACTCAAACTCAAAGCAGTTGTTACCAGGCAAACTCTATGACCCTGCCATAGGGCTACAGTGAAGCAACGTTCCTCCTCTTTCTCCGTCATAAAACCCTGCAGGCAAAACCCTATTTAACCCCAGTGAATGGGATGTGAGGCTGTTGAGGGGCTAAGGGGTCAACTGAGGTCAACCCATAGTAACTGCGAGTGTGTGGTTAGGGGGAGTTATCATCCATCTTACTCTTTGTTCCCCGCTGTCGAACCTCATCACACATGTTGACCACAATCGGGAAAGGTAGAAAGAAAGTCAACAGCTTTTCTTTAGGTCATGAATTTGAAGTCAGTTCAAAAGAAGATGAGAAGATGTTTGGATAACGTTGCAGTGCGGCTCTACGGTTAGCCCTGTAATAACTGATCACATGTTTGAATGTGCGATTGATTTCATTCGATCAGTATTGATGTTTAGCATTTAGAGCTGCGCCAGTAAGTTTTGAACATTTTAAACAACTTTAATTCATATTGCAGTTTGATCAAGTGCAGTTCAAGCAGTTTGCATAGACTTTAAAATTTTAAGTAAATCTATTTGGTCCCTAAAGATGGATCAGTAATGGTGATGATTGTACATCTCAAAGCACTGACTGAAGGTGACATGTCCTCCTCTCAGCTAATGATACTGTAGTTTTCTTGAATTACATTTGGAAAGGCAAACCCCAGGTTTAGGTTTGTGTTAACCTACTAGGAAAAAGTATTAATCAGATTAATCTGTCACTCACTGACAAAAAATGAACCAGCAGATATTTCAATTAGGGCTACAACTGGCAATTATTTTCACCATCGGTTAAGCTGTCGATTATTTTCTTTGTTAATAGATTCATTGTGTGGTTTACAAAAAAGGAAATAGTGAAAAAAAAAAAACATAATGTTCGAAAGCCCAATCTGACGCCATGAAATGTCCTGCTTTATTCAATAAATAGTCTCAACCCAAATGATATTCAACACCAATTCTTTACATTTGTAAAGCTGGAATTGTTTCAGCTCTAATTTGATAACTGATGAACTATAGCAAACTGAACATGTTTAAGTTTCAGACTGTTGGTGGGACAAAAAAAAAAGTGTGAAAATGTCACTTTGAGCTCTTGAAAATTGTGATATTCTTTACTAATTTCTGATGTTTACAGACTCAACAATTACCCAATTAATGGAAAAGTAATCATCAGATGAATTGAGAATGAAAATAATAATTAACTGTCTCCATACAAACAAGGTATGAATAAAATACGTTTAGTAGCCATTTGATGTGGTGATGTAAAAATGACTGGGAGAGCTTGATCCCGCCGAGGGGACAGATCAGCTGATTGCCTCTCTATGAGCATGACACTGCAGCCAACACATACACAGACACACAAATCCACCTCTGCTGTTACCGAGTGTGCAAGTCCTGGATTAGGCTACCCCTAACTGCCTGCCCCCACACTCACATACACACAGACACACCCCTCCGCCTATCACTGAGCGCCACTCGAGGCCCCTCAAATCTTAATCCGCTCTGATTTTTGAGTGGCCCTGGATAAGGGCAGCACACCGAACCCCATGCTCTCCCCTCTCGGTCCCTTCCCTTCCCCCACACGTCAGCTCCCCTGCTTCTTTCCTCACCACCGCTACCACTGCTTCTCCTCCCCGCCTCCTTGCTGCCTCTGCTCCTCCCTTGGGTTCGCCTGATCACTATTTGTGTGTCTGCGTGAGCGCCAGGTGAGCTCTGTCTAAACAAATCCTGCCTCCCACTTGTTTTGTCTACTGCGGTGGAGGCAGGCGGCTCGGCGGACAGCGAGGGCCCGGGATAAGGCTGCTTTTCTCTTGAACTGAATAGCGTGGGGGGGGGGGGGGGTTCCTTCTCTTC